TGGCACCTCCGCCTCATCCCAGACCGACGCCATCTTGCTAAGTGCGAGTAAACCCGGCCCGGCGTCACAAACCGCGGATTCGTCTCGGGCCGCGGCGGGAAAGCCCGCCCTGGCCGCTCAGGGGCCACGCTACTCCTCCCCCACCCCCCCTGTCGAATCTGCTGCATAGAAACCCGCCCCGCCGGTCACATGACAGCGGCCAAATCTGCTGAGTGATGGCTCCGCCGCCATGCTGATGCGGGGCAGCGCTGGGGCGGGGCCAGCCGCAGGGACCGCCCACGAGCGCTGCTCGGAGCGGAGGGGATGGAGTGGGCCACGCCCAGGAACGAGCGCAGCAGGCGCGGGTGCAACCACTTTTATTTTAAGAACAAACACTACGTCACAGTCCAGGGCAGGGCAGGGCAGGGCAGGGCAGGGCGGCGGCAGCAGCTCAGACGAAGCCCGGCTTGACTGTGGCGCGGCGGCAGTGCGGGCAGCCGCGGGTCCCGTCCGTCTGCAGGCACCTGCAAGGGAGACGCAGCGGCGCTCGGAGCGGCTCCCGGCCCCGCCCGCGCTGGGACGCTCACACGCGGGAAGTGCTGAAGGGGGTTAAGTGCAGCTTCGAAGGTCCTCCGGGGCCTGGCCTCGCCGTCCCTCCAGGCCTGTTTCTGAGCCCCGGGGGCGGGGATCTGCCTGCCGGCACTGGGTGAACAACTCTGGCTGAGGCTCAGGAGACGGCCGTGCAAGGGCCGCCCCCGTGCAGGGGATATGCGAACAGGATAGAGACTCCTCTGGACGACAGCGGCCTTCTCCATCGCTGCACTGGCCCTGGGCAGCTAAACTCAAGTACATGGGACACTCCTGGGCAGCCACCCTCCCCAAACCCTCTGCCTGAACCGACCTCCATCTGGCAGCCCCTGTCCCTTGTGCTCCTTACTTGAGGTGGAAGAAGTGGGAGCAAGGCAGCGCCTGGAGCTGGTTGTTCCTCTCTCCGATGGACTCTCCGCACAGGCCACAGTACAGCTCCATC